AGCTACAGAGTTTCAGAGAAAAGCTGCTTGAAGCCCAGAGCGCAGTCAGACAAGCCGAGGTCAATGGCAGCGAGGCAGCATTGCATGACCGCCCGCCAAGCTACCGTGAAGAGAACGGCGACGACCTCCCCGACGGCATCGATAGCCTACAAGCTGCCCTCACCCGGCAAAAGGACGAGAACTCGCGCATCCGCACCGAGCTAGAGTCGCTACGGAAGCAGTCCCTCAACGGCGCCACCAACGGCGCCACGCCGAAGCAACTCGCAGACTTCGACACAATCAAGAAATCGCTCATGCGCGATCTGCAGAACCGCTGCGAGCGCGTGGTCGAGCTCGAGATCTCGCTCGACAGCACGCGGGAACAATACAACTCCATCCTGCGCTCGTCGAACAGCAGGCAGCAGCAAAAGAAGCTCGCGTTCCTCGAGCGGAACCTGGAACAGCTGACCCTCGTCCAGCGCCAGCTCGTCGAGCAGAACGCGCAGCTGAAGAAGGAGGTCGCCATCGCAGAGCGCAAGCTCGTCGCCCGCGGCGAGCGCATCAGAGGCCTCGAGGGTCTGGTGCAGGAGAGCCAGGAGAAGCTCATGGTCGCCAACCACAAGTGCGTATCGCATCCCCCCACCCCACCACCACTCCACAAGCTTGACACACATGCTGACCAAGTCTGCGCGCCCAGGTTCGAATCCCAACTGATGGCAGTGAAAGAGCGCCTCGAGGCAGCAAAGCAAGGCTCCACCCGCGGCCTGGGCGGCGTCGCCTCCGCCGCTGCTGGCGGCCCAGCCTCCTCAGCCGGTTTCGGTACCAACCCCTTCTCGCGGATAGCGAAGCCGCTCAGAGGAGGCGGCGACGGCCCTGGTTTCGCCGGCCTCCAGAGCAGTGCACAGCAGGAGGCCGGGGCGCCGTCGGCGAAGAGGACGTCGTGGTTCTTCAACCAGCGGACGTGAGAAGGGGAGGAAGGGACGCCTGCTCGCTACGTTTGCTACTTACTTATACCATCTACGCTATTGTCATGGTGATGTTTGAATGCTTTTTCTTGCCCTGCTTAGTTACCATCTTTCTGTCTGTGTTGGGGTGGGCTCTGTGCATGGTTGATAGATGGATGCGGTGGGATGGAGGTGGAGGAGGGGCTCTGGAAGGGGGGATTGGAGAGCATGCATCGCTATCATAGAGAGATCATCTAATGTGGAAATGGACATATCTCACCGTCATCTCTGGAAATCTCGGCGGTCGTGCTTTGCCTTACCACATGATTCACCGCGCTGCTTCACGGTGATGTTGAAGGGACGAAAGATGGGTATCCAAATGAACATACCTGCACTCGTCCGTCTTGGGCAGTGTAGAGGAAAGGCGAAGACCGCGAGAAAGAATTGCCACGATTCCTCATGTGAATGGTTATCTTGCTTCCCACCATATTGTGACCATGTCTCAAGGCCACTCCAATGATGGCGCTGGGCTGAATAGCAATCACATCCGAAGGGGCGTTGCGTGAGGAAACATATACTCTGGAAGGGGTTTGTGAAGACGAATTATCTCTATATCACACGCAATTTAGCCGTTCTATCTCTCTCTCTCTCTCTCTCTCTCTCTCACACACACACAAACTATATGTAGTGAGTATTGCTTCAGAACTGCTCGCCGCATGAAGAAGTTCTGTGCCATAATGGAATGCTAGTGCAGACTCCGGATTCAGAACTACGTGGTATGATCTGTGCCATTTGTGTCGCAATCTGCAGGCAATTACCATTGAAGCACACGGAGATTTGTCAACTCATTGATGTGCACTTATATCCACAGTACAATATGAGAGACGAAGGTCTACGCTCTAACAATGAATGATTTTAATGTTATACTCGCTCTTCCAGCGCAGTCTTCGAGGCTGGATACTAAGGTCTAGATTCCATACTGCCTGGATATCTGAGGAGAGGTGTATATCAGCGAATGAGACGCCGCAGTGGACCCTCTTCCACTGCAACCACACAGCTGTCTATGGGATATGAATCCGACACACTGTTTTCTTTGCGGTGCTCGTCATACCGTGCTTGGAGTTCGGCGGCATGAAGCCTGTTACCAAGCGCTGAGTGAACAGGCTCGATAGCCTGAGATACAAGAACTGCTCTACCAACGCTTCAAGCCATCCTGGATCCAGCCAAGCGACGAGGTCATCAAGCACCTGGCGTAGACATTTGGGTACCAATTTGCACGGTTTGTAAGATACAGCCAGGCTCCTTTAAGTGTACTGCCACCGGAGATCGCGCATCACATTGCCGAGTCGGCTTACCCTTGCCCACTCGCACATCACCTCCACTTCCTACAGGCGGCCGCTACTGCAGATCGCCTCGCTGGCCAGGAAACCGTACCAGAACCCGAACGTGATGTAATGCTGTACTTCCGATCTGACATGCGCATAGCTTCACATCGCGCCCTCTTCCGTGGACGACCATATATAGTCGACCTGCACAGCTTCGAAGTAGACCCAAGGAGTGACACCGCCAGCGATCATGAATGGAACCATTTGAATGCGGTAGACTTACCGGCCAATTGGACACATCTTGTCTTCGAGCTGGATGTCTCTGGGTGTCGTAGCGTTACATTGCCTAGATATCCAGCTTCAAGGCCTCCCGCTAATGTTTGGTGTCGTGTATTTCCGCTAGCGACGTTTCCAAACCCACCTCAGCCTCCTAAAGCCTTCCTCTGTAGATACCGTGGTGGAAGGCTCCGTGATATAGTCGAGGCGCAAAGTTCACAACAACCTTTGTTTGATATAGTCTCGCTTGACGATCTCAGCATCACATGGTTTCAAGAACCTAAGCCCCGTTCGTTGCAATGCACCGATCCGTCTCTAATGATGCGGCGAGAAATTCCAAATGACGCGACTGGCGTCACAATGGCCCTTGTGGATGGCATGTTGGTCGATATTCATTTTCACAATGACAATTTGTCCAGAACTGAGACATTTTACCGCACAATGCTGGGCAGATGTCCCCGACACCCAACTCTACGACACGCAAGGCTTGGCAATAACGAGGTCCTTATAGATGCTGCCGTCTATACACGGGGTTATGCTCTAGTGCGATCTTGCGCTCACTTGATCGTAGACCTTCCAGGATTTCTATCCCTTCTTGACCGTTACATGTTAAGCTGATCTTCGAGCATAGCTTAAGACGTCCAAAGGTAGATTGATCGATCTTGCGCCATACGTTCCGCGGCACATGCGGCAAAACATCTATACAACGTTCAGCCTGCTTTCCTCAACCGCCAGAATAAGAGCAACCTTCCTCAACAAACTGATCTCCCTGTCCACTTGGTTACATCTTGGCTTACAAATTGGGAGTAGCACCGTAGGTGGATGCAGTAGCATAAAGAGCGATTGGATTACGGGACCTCCCGGCTCCGAGGGCGACATCTGGGACTTGAGCGACATGCCCAACCAAACCTTCCGAGACGATTGAATTTTGAGCTACGACGATGTTGAGATTTGGGAGGAACAGAGAGAGGACAATCTAAGAATTTGCAAAGGCATACAAACGCCTACGAAAGTCCTGGGCTCCTGGCCTATGGGCTCATGCGGAAATGTTGGCATCTTTCGCCACTGCAGCCTTCACGATCTGTTCCTCGCTAACGTGGTCATGGGGGATGAAGATGAAGGCTTCCAGGTTTGTATCACCGACCGCCACGAACATACTGACATATTTCTCGGATCATTCCGGCCGAAGGCAGGTCGCAAACTTATCTGGTGGACCGGTGATATCGGCTGCCTTGTTGAGCAGATAGATCCCTGAGTTCAAGTGGAGTATGATTGTGTTAAGTCGCAGTTGGCAGGCCTGAAGACTTGTAACTGAACACTTTTCATGAGTGGGACAGAGTGCCGGTTTACCCCACCCAATAGTTTGCACAGGGCAATGCCTGATATCCGTGTCGAGATGATAACTACCATGAGTAAAGCGCATCCACGCAAGAGTAGAGCAGCTGGTAAGATGATCCCTTCCATCCTACTTTGATGAAGATCTCTTTCATCTATGCCGTCCTAGACTGCTCTCTTTAGTTAGGTCCGGACCGGATATACTGCGTCATGCTACTGGCAACGTTTTCAAAAAGTTCTGGTGTAGCTGGTGGGGCTGTGAGAGCATTTACAAAACTGAGGATCCAACTTTCCCCGGTATCGAGACTAAGGAACGGTTCGCTAACATCCAATAGGGTCTGAAACAGCGAAGACAAGGAACTGATGTCGCTTGAGCTGACGGTAAAGGCTTCGTTGAATGTGTCATGTGGGGTCTCGTGGGTTATCACCAATGAACCCATGACGATAGAGACTGCAGGGCCGTGACCATCACCATATTGTAGTTCATACTGGGAGGGTGGGCCAGAGCTGGGGAATTCGTTATGAATGGGTGCGTTAGTGTAGGTTCTGGCACGGAAGGATAAGCTACAGTGGCAAATCCCTCCAAAGCGGAAGTTGTCAGGGCTGTAGTGCTGGCCATTCGATGTACAAGGGATCCGTAAAGCCATAACATCCATAGTGCACGAGGCCGGCTCAGTAGTGTGAGCTGATGCATTGAGGACGAGAAGATGATCATTGTGGCAGTACAGATGAAGCTAGACGGCATGCACATGATCGCAAATTCTTAGGTGTCTCAGGAGCGCGGTGTTGGAGTACTCAAGGTAGGTATGGCAAGCAATGAACATGAGCGCCCACTGAAAAATAACCAGACAGTACCCGCGGGATGCGTCTACTGCGTCTCTGCATGAATGCACAGTAAGCCTATTCCTACGGCACGCATGGTAATTAAGGCTTTGTTGATCCTGGTATATCAAATAACCGGATGCGAGGTATGGATGCAGTGGAGTTGCTGTCATGCAATGGAAGCGGTATGTTGTGACGAGCACGTTCCGCATTTCTAAACTGAGGCTAAGGCCCTTCTGGAAGCCGTCTCAAAATTGTAAGAATTATATATGATGTGATTGCTTCGCATTGTCATGTGACCCACTCATTTCACATCATATCCTCTATGGCGCAATTGGATAGCGCGTTCGGCTGTTAGAGTCCATGATTCAAGCAGATAACCGGAAGGTTCTTAGTTCAAGCCTAAGTAGGGGAGCTATTGTTTTTGCCTTTTTTTCGCTCTCGTCTCTACGTCTACAAGACTGAAATATTGAAGGAAAGCTGTGCTGGTTGTCTTTTTGATAGTATTCTTGAGCTCCAGAAAAAGAGCGCCATGGACTTGAAGAGTATTGCACTTGACACGCCGCTTTGGCCGGATTATCAGCTCTACCATGTTCCGGCCAGTCTGAGTAGCCACACCGAAGTATGTTGCAACTCGGGCCTCTATTTCCAATCCTGTTTCCACGACAGGCTGCAAAGTGGAGGACTTGAGACTGTTGTGTCCCAAAGATAGCTTATACAACCTTGATGAACGAACAGCCCCAGGCTTAGTAGTGAAACAGTCGGTACTGCAAGCAAGCGCGCGCTTTGCCGTCTCCACGTTCACAGCAAATGAGAGTCCATGTGAGCGGGGATTGCCGGGTCGCCTGCCGATTTAGATCATTCAACTGATGCAGTCGAAAAAAAATGAATGCAGCAACTGAAGTCTCGAGACCAATGGGTCAACATGTGGGTACTGTGCTGTGCCATGTAGACCTGCTTAGACTTTGGCCCCATGGTCTTCCGGCTACATCACGAAAGTCTAACAGCCGAATCTTTCGCTTACCAGGCACGATCGCTTGTGCGTCCATCGACGAGGCCTCATTTCCAACCTTCAGCACTGCGCTTCTGTACAGTCTAGCAGACGGACACATGGTCGTCTCCATAGTCTTCTCCGCATGCTGTGCCACTGTGGATACATACAACCACAGGTCAGCTTGTATTGAAGATAAATAGTATTCCCATATGGTACGGAGTTTGGTAAGTCCAAGTCGTAGGTCAATTGCAAGTCGAGAAGATGAGAGCAACCCTCTATCTTGCTGCCCTGGGCAAGTTCTGTACAGCTTCAGTTTACTATGGCAATCATTTCACGAATTCTTCGTTACCATGGCCATCCTTGTCATTCTCCCGTTCTTCCTCTCCATCCTCATACGCATCACCTTCGTCTCCTACATCGCTTTCTTCGTCAGTTGGTCTCGGGTCCTTAATAATTGCTGGTATCGGTGGGATATCCAGCACCAGCACCAGCACCAGCACCAGCTCCAGCTCCAGCTCCAGTATCAATATCATCACTAGCACTAGCATCAGCACCAACACCAGCACAATCTCTGGCACAACCTCTGACACAACCTCTAGCACAGCCTCTGGCATCAGCATCAGAATCAGCATCAGCACTGGTATTGGCATCAACATTAGCACAAGCACAAGCAACAACGACAACGTGAGCACTACTACCAACAGTGCTACTACTTCCTCCTTTAGTACGGTCTCGATTGTCCCCACTGTTGTCGCTCCTGGAGCTCCCAGTAAGCACCCCTTGGTCTCCTCCGTCGGTGTGAACACATTTGCTCCCTCGTTTGTGATCCCGGGAGTCTCCAACAACAACTCCTTCATCTCCTTGCTGAGGACTACTTCAACTACTTTGCCTGGCTTTGCCCATGCGAATGCAAGTAACCCTTCAGGTACTGGCTCTCGCGACGTCACAGGAACCACAGCTACTTCTCACACCAATGGCACAGCTTGGCAGAGATGTCAATCCAGCCGGGAGTCGTGGTTAAGTGCTAGCCTTCGGTTTTCGGCGACGGCCAATTCAACATATGTATCCATATATACGGTGCCAGATTACGTGTATACTCTTGATGTTGAATATGGAACTGGTAGCGTCTTCACCACCAAGCATGGCATCCCTTATGCGCATGGCACTTTCACGCTGACTAGTGCAACTGGGTATCCTGTGTAAGTTGACCACCGCCTGCGGTGCTTCTGACGAGCCTATCAGCTCAGTAGTCCCATACCTTGAGTGTTGCGATAGGTAGCTGATTGTTTAATAGTACCATTCCGGGTTACGTATCAACCGTGACATACCAAAATTGGATTCGGCGGTTTCCAAATCCCTATCCAACATGCATTTACGACTCAGCAGGATGTACCTCTGCATGGCAGTCCTACCTCCATAGTCTTGGGCTCCCTACAAATGTACAAAATGCTACTGAACCTCCAATTTCCCCCGCCCCAACAAACAGACCACAGTGTTCCCTGGGTGCGGCAACAGAGGGGTGCGATCTCGGAGGCTCCACGACATATTCAAAGTACTGTACAGTCGAGGGAGAGCAAGTCAGCTTATACTATTGGCCAAGATCCAATAACACCAACGTCACAGTCTCAAGGCAAGCAGCAGTCACTGCGACCGTCGGTGACATGACCTTCACTTCTCCTTCTGTCTATCTGAAACTCGACACTGTATCCGCTTACCGTATGGGCAAGGTCATCCTGCCTTGCTCGATCACTAAAAGTCCTTTAGGAGCTCCATATGCCGGCGCTTCGAACTTGACCGCGTTTGGCCCCAATCCTGACTATCTATGGTCTGGTAGCAATGTTTGGGTTTCAGCCGATCCAGCATCTCTCTCATCCTTACTCATGGCCCCACCGGCTGGCATAGCTATATCACAAGTCGTCAGCGAACTCGCTCACGGGGGCCCAAATTTCTCTATGTACGTTGATGGTTTAAACTATTTCGGAAATTGGACCCTCACGTCCTCCGTATATGACCCGGATCGCTTCAACATGCCACTGCCAGAGGACTACTACTTCCAAATTGGTCCACTCGCTCCCGGTCTGGACAACGGACCGCCTCACCCTCCCGCGAGTACCATCTTCCTTGGTGACTATCACCCAATCCTGAGTGTTCCACTGGAACTCCGACAGCTCGCCCCAGTGATAGAAGGCTGTAAACCTGGATTGCGCGGCTTATATGATCCCCCAATCGCGCTGACACCGTTGAACGTACCCGCAGCTGCGGTTGTAACGACCCATGTCAGTCCGACTGTTACAGCGAACCCCGGCTCTACACCTTCTACGACTATACCTCAGGCGACATCAACTCCTATCAACAGCGTGGACGGCGGCGATGCGTCCACCACTGGAAGTAGCCGCTCTGCGGAATCGACTGGTGACCTGGGCAACAGCGGCACCTCAAGTAGCAGTAATACGCTGGACAGTGGAGACCCTAGCGGCGGCGCGTTTGACAATGCAAGTGGTCTTTCTGCAGACCCGACTGATAGCGTGGGAACGGGTGGCGCATCGATTGGCAATGTTATTTCAAGCAGCGAAGGCTCAGATAGCAGTACTAGTACAAGTAATACGCCCACGAGTGGAAGCGCTAGCTCTGCTGATCCGACTAGTATTTCGAGTGTTGGTGGTACATCGAAAGAAGGGACTCTAAGTGGAGGCAGCCTGACCAGTATCGAAGCTGGAGTTTTGAACGGCAATTCTCGGGATCCGACCAGTGGTCCAAGTAGTAGTGAATCCAACGGGAGAGGCTCTGGTGGTGATCAAGGTGGTGGCGACGGATCGAGTGGAGGCAATCCTAGCGAGACTGGCGCAACTGATAGCGTCGCAAGCGCTGTATTTACCGGCGACTCCAATACTCAAAGCGCTTCTTTAGTAGAGCCGACAGGCCCAAGTGGAGGCGGCACTAGTAGCAACGATTCAAATTCAGGCGGCGCTCAGAATGGATCGAACGAAGACGGGTCCGGTGGCGCTGGCTCTGATGGTAGTGGCACTGGCGAGGACTCGCCAGCTAGCTCTGATGGACAGTCAGACAGCGGCAATGACCCTGACTCTGGTGGTGGTTCTTCAGACACTTCTAGCGGAGGCTCAGATAACACTGGGGGTAACGACTCTGGTGGAATCCCATCAGGAAATTCGAATGGCAACGACGATTCTGGCTCGAGCGGAAGCTCACCCGACAGCTCCAACGGAGGCTCAAGCAGCGCTGGTAATACAGGCTCTGGTGAAAGCTCATCAGGTCATTCCGATGGAGACTCTGATAGTGACGATGATCCAGACAGTGGTGAGTCGGGCAGTGGGTCAGGCGGTGCAAGTCCAAGCAAACCTGGACCAGACAGCAATCCTGTTCAGACCATCTCCAGTTCCGGCGGTTCCACTGAAGGAGGTAGTGAGGGGAGCTCAGATCAAGGTGGGTCTGGAATCAGCTCAAGCACGGCAGCTGTTATCATTGGTGGCGAAACGTTCAGTTTTGCGGTACCAGCCCCTTCAAATACTGCACAGAGCAACGGACCTCCTTCAAACGGTAGGGCATTCGACAACCAGAGCGGCAATGCTGACAGCAATCAGTCTGCAGCTGGTGGAGTCTCATCAGGGACCAGTAGCACGACTGGCTCCGGGAGTCACGAGGAAGGCTGCAATACACAAAATGGTGGCGTACCTACATCAGGATCGAGGTTGAGTGACCCTGCCAGTACAGGCGAAGGATCTGCTTCCAGGACTGCCGTTATCACCATAGGCTCAAGCGTGCTCACCATGACAGAACCATCCGACAGAGGCTCCACGATCCAGACTATCAATGGCGAGACAATCTATCCTGGACCAAGTGGCATCTCTGCAGGCTCTACAAGTGTCGCTTTTGCGCCAGTCGCTACTGAAAGTACAACTGGAGTGGTGTTCAGCGTTGGGAATAACGCTGTGACAGCTGTAGGAATCACCTCTGGCGTATTCGTTGTGGAAGGATCCACGGTCAGCAATGGCGAAGTTGTCACGCTTTCTGGTGGTCAGGCCGTGAGTGTTGATGGTAGTAAACTCCATGTCGGCTATTCCGACGATACAAGCTTCTGTGTTGGCGTATGCCACACTAGAAGTGACTCTGGCAGCTGCGATTTATGAAGGCGGACCCGCTCTCACAGCCACCGCTCTAGGCAACGGAGGCTCTGCTATTATCGGGGACCAAACCGTATCGATAGGTGGTCCAGCCGCGACATTCTCGGGAGGCGAGGTTGTCAGCCTGTCTCCTTCAGGCCTGCAATTTGTGAACGATGGCACAACAACCGCGGTCGCATTCACTGCTCAAGACCTGCCGAGCACAGCAGGAGTCTTCACTTCTGGTAGGTATGCTACATTAGCGACTGCAACAGAGATCGAACCAGGAGCCTGGGTCTATGG